TAAGGAGCCAATCAGCTCCTTCAGGCGTGGTGGTGACTTGGACTCGTCCTGCATGGAGTTTGATGGCAACTGGGAACCAATGGTGTGCAACCCAAATCATGGTGATGATAAACCCTGGCATTGCGTCAGCTGGGGCAAGCTTGCAAATCCACCTCTGCAGGAGCGGTTCAACCTCATCGGCATGTACATGATCTCACCAACCTTAGCCATGCTGGCAACACCAATCATACGCAAGTAGTATTCCATTTCGTCAGATGCAACCCATGCTTCCTGGCTATGCAGCAACTGAGCTCTTGGGATGGCATGTGCGAAGGAAAAGCAGTCAGGCAAAAACCCTGCCTCCCCTGTGTGTGGGCTGTGGCTCCCTTTCATTTCCCGCAAGAACACTGCTCCTGATCATAGTTCCAATGCTTGTGTTGGCACGGACTGGTCTGGTGAGTCCCGCAATTTTGGACTCCGCAACAACGATTGACCCTACAGTGGCACTTTGGGGGACTCGGATGACAACAGGGCACATGGTGTCCTCATGAATGACATGAATGGTGTGTGTGGCTGCGAGATTCACATGATCACTGGATTCCTCAAGTTTCTCCACATGAGCTAGCATTTCCTGAGAAAACCCTTCCATGTCATGGTCACCCGGTGGGTCACGCATTGGTGAGGCAGCCATATGTACATCTCCGGAAGTCGGCAGGGCTGCAATAGCATTGGCATTGCACTCTTTGTTGTCATGGCTGACATTGCAGAGAACAGGTTCCTGTGGGCAAGTTTCTACATGCTCAACAGCAGGTTCAACTGATCCATGTGCATGGCAAAGTTGGTTGGAAGTGGACCCTGCTATGTCATGCGTGTGAGTACTGTCATCATGTTCATGTCAATGCTCATGAGTTGAGTCATTGGTCGGTTCCTCATGGTCACGATCTCCATTGCTCTCATGGGTATCCAGCACTCTCATTGATGAGTCCAAGATGGGTGCATTGATTTTGTCCAATGGCACTGGTGTGTCATCAGGCTTGGTCAGGTTTGGCAAAACCTGGGCATCCAAAATTGGCAGTGCATGGCTTCCATGTGCATCATGTTCATGCTTACCAGCGGCTAGGCTGGCCGGCTGAGTTCTGCGGTTTCGGAAAGCTTCAATCCCATCTCCAACATGGGTCGGGGTGTGGGAGGGGCCAGTAGTGTCTGGACCACTGCCTGGCATGGCCTGAAAAGACATGGGAAGGTGGAGTTTTGTTCCCATTGCTTGCGTTGGGTCCGCTGGCTGTTTCTCAATCTCTTCTGGGTTCTCCCGTCCCGTCCGGTGGCTGGTTGTTTCTTCAGGGTTCTCCCGTCCCTCTCGGTGGCTGGTTGTGATCTCTTTGTCATTTTCACCAGTGGATCCTACAGGCCAGGCTGGCCCTGCCACTTGTTGGGCAGATCTCTGCAATGCTTCATGAGTCCTACTGACAAAAGCCTTGAACCTGGGATGGTCTGAAATGGTCGGATGCTCGGATGCCACAGCTTTGTACAAACGTTGCATGTGATTCCACAGGACTTGCTCGGGTGAAACAAACGGGTTCTCAAGTCCTTGCATCAAAAGCTGCAAGATGATCCAGCATGTCTGTACAGGGCTGGCCATTTGGCCTAAGCCTGCGATTCCCATTCTTTATTGGGGCATCCAAACTTTGTTGGGCCCAGCTCCGTGAATCAGTGCCATTTCCCAAGGGTGCATATGATACAAGTTTGGCAAAGTGCCAAGGTATGTCTTCTGGTCTCCTCCAGTAGGGATCAGGGCTCCAAATAGCCCTTCTGCTTCAGGCGAACTTCGGAAAAGGGATGCTGTCTGCAGCCACAAGGGCATCCCGTCAGCTGGTTGGCACAGCCGTGCAATGCTGCACGGACTGGCTCTTCAGAATTGGCAATGTTGGGAAAAAGGCTGTTAAACTCCCCAAACTTATTCAACTCATACAAATCCAAAACCAGTTGATCCAAATGACTTGGGTCCCATTGTGGCAAAATCGGAAGCATGTCTCCAAGTACTGGCGGGATGCTCAAACTGGGCAATGGTCGCAGGTGGACCTTTGGCATGGTCGGATTGGTGAGTAGGCACCACCATCGGTTTCTACGTGCAGGCATGAGGTCATGTAGTTTCAAACAAACTTGGGCTATGTTGAAACGAGTCTTGGCACAAAACCCTTGGATGATCCTCTGCACTTCAGGATCTTGCCCTGCTCCTTCGACACACTCCAACAAAATTGAATGAGCTCGTAGCCAGTAGCTAGCTTCAAGGACCTTGCCTAGGGAACCAGACCTAACATCTTGTGATTTAAGGCCATCTCCTAGTGCAGACCATGGCTGACAACTGAACCCTGACAAGACCAAAGACGGAGCGGGCAGGCTGAATGGATGCCTGCAATCACGGATGCTTGACCAATGTCACGAGGAAAGACTTGGCTCTGACCCTGCCTCAACTGAAACTGACAATTCTCACTGCGGAGGTCGTTGACAGCCTTGATGGTCAATCCACACGACCCGGCCCCCTCTCCCATGATACCAATCCCAGCACAAAGTTCGTAGGTGTGCTATGCCCCAAACAGTAACCTTTGCTGACATCCAAATGAAACCGTGGAGTAACTTGCATGACCTGTGCTTCCAAGAAAGAGAACATGGGTAGGTTAGCGAGTTTCCCTGTTGCAGTAAAAAGTTGGCTATCAACCCCAGACCGACAAAGGTGTTTCATCCCTGTGTTGTCATAGACGATGACATTGCATTGACCGTTAATTGAATCACCAACCTGTAGCTTTGACCAGTTGGGTTCAATCCTCACAGCAGGCAGTCCCATTGCTCAGACTACCATCCCAAGCGCTTGGCCCGCACCGATGTACCTCTGGTAGGTGCTTGGGCCACATCTCTGTGTCGTCCCTTTAAATTGGTAGATAGGGTTTCCCTTAGTGGATTGTGAGATTCACCATCGTCAACAGTGGTTTCGAGTCATCAAATCTGTATATTGGTTGGTATTAAAATCCCCTATAACATATTGGTTCGTATTAAAATCCCCCTATATACGGGACTTCTAATCCCCTATATGGGGGATTATAGGTTCAATAATTGATTCTTGACATATTGGTATGTTATATTGCTGGTAACTATTGGTTCTTCTAATCCCCTATAGTCCCCTGTATTGGTTTTGAACACGGTTCGCTTACCCTCATGATTCGCATGTTCCTTCCAAAGCACAACGGAAATATGATGGGGAGAATTGGGATGGTTTGTGGCATTGGGCGTGCCACATTACCCATACGAATTGGGTTTAGTATTGGTAGATGGGTATGAACTGATTATACCAGTTTTACCCATACTAAGAATGGTCATGCCCAAAATATAACAGTAAGAATTACCAATATCAACAACAGTTATAGTTATACCCAATTGTAGTGATTTACGGGATAGATAAGCTAGCAGCTAGCAGTTTTAGCGATTGATGGTGATTTATGATGATACTATACCACAATAATGTGACAATATTATTTCATTGTACACAACTCATCATACTCCTCAATAAATTGGGTAGCATTGGTCCTTATAATGACCCACTAACCAACATTACATCACCATGATGACTCATTACAGTTAAAATAGGTCAGAACTTTACCATGATTGCGGTCACTATTATACAATTTATAATGGATTATTGGTTGATTAATATTGAACAATGAATTACCATTGATTCAATATCACCATGGAATCATTAATATTACAACTATTATATATTCCCAATGGAATATGACAATCCCAAGTTTCATGCCGCAATAGGAATCCGTACAATCGCCGACAGGAACAAAAAATGTTGTAGCAAAATAATAGTTGCTTATAATCGAAAACATGATGTGCTATAACATATATCTCAATATACCACAATATTATGGTACATATGCATATGTAAATAATTAAATCTACATGTATATATATATATATGTAATGAATTAAACCAAACAAGAAACAAACAAATAGATAGTTGTTACCACTATGAATGCTTAGAAGAAATATCACGAATGATTACTATTGTATATTATAGTGATACCTCCATTAGTTAACCACTAGTGGTGCTTATTCTCTATTTTTGTGAAATCTCCATTAGCGATATCGCTATTAGTAATAGGTAATGTAATGAATGATTAGACACAATATACAAATATCAAATATTGCCATCATTAATGTTTAAAAGAAATATCATGAATGATTACCCTCATCATTAATATTGGTAATGTCTACTATAATTAAGAGTAACACTTTTTTCTGATCATTACTATGTAGCAAATCAATAGGGATGGTAGTACTGACTAGTGATGTATAAGTAGTGAGTACCATGGACTTAAAGAAATTCCATGGATTGGTGATTTATGATTACTACTGCCATTTAACGATTAAATCACCTATCATAAACTACAAGGATTAATTCAGATTGCCATTACTGACGTGGTGATTAGTGAATTAACAATGGTGAATTAACCATTAGCATTGCCATTTAGTGATTACTGCAAATAGACACTGGATCATTAGGTCATGAATGTTGAATAAACTGTATAATATTATCTGATATGTTGGAATAATCATTAGTATATTACATTACTGAAATGTACAAGAATATCTACTAACATGGTGATTAGCAACTAATGATTAAGATGACTATATTCCAGTGTATTAAAAAAGTCATTAGTAATTAGTGACTAATGTGTAACTAATAACGATTAGTGATATTAACATCAGTTACTGGTGAAAATAGTGGTATTAAAATCATTTTCACTATCATTAGTTACTAATAATGGTTAAACAATGGCTGGTTGGTGGTTTCAACCCCTCTGAAAAATATCAAAGTCAGTTGGGGTGATTGTTCCCAATATATGTAAAAATGGTTAATTCTACCTAATTGTAGTATATTGTAGTGATTTATGGGATTAATAACCCTAAAATCATTGTTCAATAATGATGACTAGTGATTCACCATGTCTCCATCAAGCCGCCTCCGGCAACTCGGCCGCATAGCGCTCCACCGCGCCCAGCACGCGCTCGATCTGCGCCGTGGCGTCATGGACGTTCGCCAGGTCCTTAAAAGGGCGGAATCCCTCGTGACAACCGGGTGAAAAACGGTGGAAAACGATGGGAAAATGATGGGAAAATGATGGGATTTCATATGGAAAACATAGGAAAACATGAGGAGAGATGATGATTTCCATGTGGAAAAATGGGGAACAATGGTGAAAAGGAGTGAAAGTAATGAAAAACAAATGATGGACACATGGTGAAACATGATGGACAAATCCATTTCATGGGGAAAATTGATGGTGGTTTCATATGGACAGATCTGAAACAATAGGAGGTTCAGATGGAAACTTGATGGTTCACCGGTGAACATTGGGAAAAGTACTGGGAAATAATGAAGAGACAGGGATTGCATATGGAGAAATAATGGTCATATGTAGGAACATATGGCTCTTGTATGGATAACTGTGGATTCAACATGGCTTTGGTACTCCATCATTTTTTGAATCCCAGTAAAAACCAGTATGAGCGTATGCCTCTACATGGCAGCCGACCAACTGAAAAGGTCAGGATGAAACATTCCCAAGCATGTCTGCAGGCCCCGTAGAAAGCGGTTTGGCCAAAGGCATCATTCAGCCAGCCGAATCGCCTCCCAAATACCGACCACTGGAGCACCGCAGTCCGTGGCCATGGCGTTCATGCTCCGATACGAGCACACAGCGTGCAGTCTGGTTAGGAAGAACACCCCACAGGGATCCTTGCCGTTGGCCAAGCACCTCGTTGCAGCCATCCTCCATTGATCCAATTATCATGTTACTATCCAAACAAAACATACAAGTGAAAACAATATCACAGAAAATAACATTATAGAATCATCCCATGATCAACCCATAACCCTAATAGACAACCCCATGAATTCCATTTTTGAGTGCTTAAATTAACCATAATTACTAGTTCATATCCCTTTAGCCTTTAACTATATATATACATATATACATCGTTTATATAGTTTTTAATATAGTTTATATCTAGTCCAAAAAACATATAAACTATATATCCTGATATTGTTAATATACACTATATATAGTGAATAAAACTTTAAATAGGTTTATATAGATAATATGTTCAATAAATGTGTATATTCACTATAGTTACCTATAGATATTCCTTGATGACCATGGCTCAGAACTACTGATCCACTGGAGCTACTGTACAAGTAGATGATTTTCAACATGTTAGTTTACCCCATAGCAATCACCCTTAATCACTCTTAATCACCATGATCTGTTCCATTAATGACCATTCAAAAAACCATCAATAATCCATAAATCACTCATTAATCACCATAGATCGCCATTAAATCACTAATAATTGTTGGTTCAACCATCATTCACCCACCATTTCCCACGTCGTTTCCACCGTTGTTTTTGTCGTTTCCACCGCGGCGCTCGTCCCCCAGGCAGCACCAGCTGCAGGCTGCGGATGTCGCGTTCCAAGGTGCGGATGGCCACGTCCGGGACCTGCGCCACTTTCCAAGGTACGCTATAGCTATAGCTATAACAATTATAGTTATAATATGGTATATACCATTGTATTAGCTATTGGCCAGTATATAATGGTATATATACAATTATACTGGCTAATTGGTTGATAATGATCAATAATGGTGATTCAATATTGATCAATAATAGTGATATTAACTATATAGATACTGTTATCTAAAGGCTATCTATATATATTCACTTATATCTATATTCACTTATTTATCTATGAGGAGATAATGTTGATTATGTTAAACCCAAATATATCTTAAACTCAATGGTTTAAAACAAATCCCATACTGAAAAATCCCACCGGTTACTTAAATCCCAATGGTTCATATTCCATCATAAACATGAGCGCCTGACTGCCCACAGATCCAGGCTCCAGGCCTTATAATATGTCAATGTATCGACCATTATGTTTTATTACAACATGTAATAAGGTACAATCATGAATCATATGGTGATTACAAAACGTTCTATACTAGTATAGAACTAGAAATATGTCAATGTAAAGAACCATATCACATTGAAAGCCTTCTCCAGACAAAGCCATTTCAACAATCGTGTAATATCACGTTGTAATATACTACATAGTATATAACATAAACTACAGGAATTACATCTACATGCATAGAAGATCTCCATCACCGCTGGCCCTGGCGCCTTATTGACGCCCGTTTTGGATCGGAAGATCTCCAGCGCCTTTCGACTTCGCTCCACCAGCCGCGAGGCGCCCGAGACCACTTTCTCCAGGCCCTCCGCCTGCCGCACCTGGTGGGAAATGGTGAGTTTTACATGGTGAATCATGATGATTAATGTGAGTTTTAGATGAAAACGACTAATATGTTAGTTGAATACATGATTAGTTTTATAGGGTATATCATGATTAAACAATGGTTAACCATGGCTAATAATGATCATAAAAATGGTGATTCATGATGATTAATGATGATCTGGTTGGTGGTTTCAACCTACCCCTCTGAAAAAAAATCAGTGAAATTCAGTTGGGATGATGAAATTCCCAACTGAATGGAACAATGAAATTCATGTTCCGAACCACCAACCAGTGTTGTGGATGATATAGGGGGATTTTCTACTTCAATCATCCATTGTAATAGGATGTTCCATTAAAAACTGGCAGGTTCATGGATTTTCTGGGAATTTGATGGGATTTTTGGGATTGCGAAGAAAGGATGTCATATGGTTGATAGGTTTCCCTACTATGGGTTGTCGTAGTCTCAATAAATTAGCTAGTATAAATCCCACCAATCAACCATCATTGTTCGGTTATATCATCCTATATCTCCATGTTTCATGCTTAAGCCCCATTTAAATCCCAAGAAATTCACCAATGAACCAGGATATAAATCCCCAAGATGCTCTTTTCTCATATCTAATCATCAAGAATCACAATAAATTCCTATATTTCCTCGTGAATTACATCAATAGATCCATTAAACATCATGAATCACCTAATAAATAATCATGAATCAAATTAATAGATCCTTTACTGACCACACATAATTGTGATGGATAATATTCATCACCGTATAGATTACACAATTCCTATAGGGATTTAGAAGAATAGGAATTAATAATCACCATTAATCATCATGAATCACCATCAAACATAATTAATAGATCCATTACTAGTTCACTTAATCACCATTGACACATATTTTTTGGTTATAATCACCATTCATCATCAATCACCATGAATAATCCATCCCAGGTGGTACAGGATTTCGCAACCATCCACAGTATCCCTATTGTTCAAATTGTTAATTTCACGAATAATTCCATTCATACAGTAGTTCCATTCATCCATCAATTTCATGATTAATCACCATTAACACATAATTGTTGGTTGTAATCACCATTCATCAATGCATAAATTTCATGATTAATCACCATTAACACATAATTTTTGGTTATAATCACTATTCATCAATGCATCAATTTCATGATTAATCACCATTAACACATAATTCTTCGTTATAATCACCATTCATCAATGCATCAATTTCATGATTAATCACCATTAACACATAATTTTTGGTTATAATCACCATTCATCAATGCCTCCTTATGCATGATTTATCACCATTAACACATCATTTTTGGTTATAATCACCATTCATCAATGCCTCCTTTTTCATGATTATTCACCATTAACACATAATTCTTCGTTATAATCACCATTCATCAATGCATCAATTTCATGATTAATCACCATTAACACATATTTTTTGGTTATAATCACCATTCATCAATGCCTCCTTATGCATGATTTATCACCATTAATACATAATTTTTGGTTATAATCACCATTCATCAATGCCTCCTTTTTTAAGATTAATCACCATTAACACATAATTTTTGGTTATAATCACCATTCATCAATGCATCAATTTCATGATTAATCACTATTAACACATAATTTTTGGTTATAATCACCATTCATCAATGCATCAATTTCATCATTAATCACCATTAACGCATAATTTTTGGTTATAATCACCATTCATCAATGCCTCCTTTTTCATGATTAATCACCATTAACACATAATTTTTGGTTATAATCACTATTCATCAATGCATCAATTTCATGATTAATCACCATGTTCTAAGGGAATTATTAACTATTCTAAACCACCATGTTGAAATATCCCCATTGTTCTTGCTTAAACCACCATGAAAAAAATCGCGCCTGCACGGCTGCCTGAATCTCCTTGGCCCAGAAGCGTAGCCGCGCCTGGAAAAAAAACTGCTGGGAAAACACAGGGAAAAATGGAGGGAAAATGAACATGTAGAAAAAACATAGGGAAAACCACTATATCGAAAATTATTGGTAATTATTATCTATAATATATATATATATATATATATCGAGAACTATATCGAAAACATAGGGAAAAATGTTCCATAGAAAACATGTTTCTTATCGAAATTATGGACAATCTACAGGGAAACACCCAAAATATTCTCAAACATGATGGGAAAACGATCGGGACAAATCATGAAACATCTGGAGAAACAGTGGGGAATAGCTCTCCAATTCTTTGCAATCCTGATGAGATGTAATTGGGAAAAAAAACGTGAAACACTGGAATTTACCATCTGGTTGTGTCAAAATAGCTATGGAAAATCACCAGTTTTAATAGGTAAACCATCTGTAAATGGGCCATTTTCCATAGCTTTTTGTATGTTTACCAGAGGGTATCATCAAAGAAATCGAATCATCAAACAAAAATGCCACAGAAATCCAGTAGGATTAGCCTAACAATCCAACATAGCTACGGGCAATGGCCCATCTATAGATGATTTACCTCTAAGAAAAGAATGTTTCCATAGCATGATTAACTATAGCTATTTGCCAAAAGACTTCAGATTTACCTAGATGATTTAATGGCCATTGCCTAGATGATAAAAAATTACCTCCATTAACCTCAGATTTATAGACAGAGTTCCATTAACCTATGGCCATTTGCTGATGATTTACCCCAATCTGTAGCGATTCTCCAAGGGAGGGTCATCCCATAGCTTGGAGTTGCGAAACTTGTTGGAAACTTCAGAAACACCCAAAAAAACCTGTTGAAAAACACATCAAGTAATGGATTTCCCATTGGGAACTAACATAATCCCATATAATCCCATATTTTCCCATTAGGATCATCTTCATTTTTTTTGAAAAATACCCCCTTAACATATGGGACAGCGGTGAAACATTGAGGCCAGCGACTCGGTACCAACAATCAAAAACGGGTCGACCAAAACGAGGACGGTGGGTCACTGGCGACGCTATGTTTGAATGCTCCGAATTTGGAGATTTCCTGAAAAGGGGGTACCCCCAAATCATCCATTTATATATATATACTGTATTACATATATATATATATGGATTTTCCATGATCAACCATCCAACTTTTGGGATACGCCCATTTATGGAAACCCCTATTTCCAAGTGTTGTTCTTCTGTATGTTTACTGTGTCCGCATGAAATTTGAGTTGATAGATGTTGATAGTTCAAAAATGCTTCGAAACATTTTGATGTTTACCCTTGGAGCATCAAAACCATATATATACATATGTTTATATATATATTATATATGTGTATATATATATATTATGTACAGGTTTTAAGCAATTTCACTTGGGAAAAGACATGGGATCCTCCAAATAAAACGGCTGATTTTGAGTGATAAAAAACCACATAGTTTCAGCATCAAATCCGCAGAAACGGCACCTGTAAGGAACCAGACCACAGCATATCCATCTCCTGGAGCCGAGCCGAAGGCAAAACACCATGCTCAGCTGAAGGTCTATAGATCTTATATATAAAATGGGGATAATCCATACATATATATATATACACATAATATGTTTGGTTTTAAAAAAACTTGGTAAAAAAAGAGAACAACTAGTTGATGTTCCTTCCATGGTTTCAAATGCCTGACGTTCTTGTCAGATGCGTCACCGAAATTCACGCTGTGATTTCGTAAATCCACTGACCATGGTCAGGGTGGAACGGAAGCCCCACTCATAGTGTCACGAGTGCATTTGCCTGCGTGTATCTTTGTAAATCCATGTGCGGTTTTCTATTAAATAAACATATACGTTCTATGTGTGTATTTAACTATATACATATACATATGTATACATGTGCGTGTATGTATATCTATCTATATATATATATCCAGTACATAATGGAGAAACATGTCATTGTCATAGAAATGTCGGTTGTACTGTGACCATGATGTAGGTTGGAGCCTTCAACATTTTGCAACCCTTTATTATGTACCCATATCATCCATACATATCACATAATCTGTAACAACAAATCCATTTTTACCCTCTGGTAAACTAACATAACTATGGAAAATCATACTTTTTTAATGGCTAAACTCACTATAAATGGCCATTGTCAAAAGCTTTTTGTATGTTTACCAGGCCGGGTTTTTCTGGATTTCTGGTGGGTTTAGAGAGATTGATCAGGATTTGCAGGGGTTTTATATATTTTAGATGGATTTTTGTGATTCTCCAGGATACATCACAATTCACAGGGCTTGAAAACAAGGCATCCCCAATTCCTCTGAATCACCATTAATGATGATTAGTGATTTAAAGTGGGTCGTTCCATTTGCTTTATAGTGATTTATGTCCATTAATAGTGATTTATAGTGATTTAATGATTATTAATAATGATTAATGTTGTATACCGATTAGTGTCCTGGGACTGTACTGTGAAAAAAAAAATTGAGTATCTTGTGAATGGGGGGGGTGGACCTCTATTGTGAAAAGTTTTTTCTCAGATCATTTTTTTCAGCAGGAGCTTTATCCACCTTTATACACCTTTCTTTGGGTAAAGCTGGTCCATTTACTTTAGACAGCCATATCCATGTTAAAGCCTTGAAAATGCAAGGTTTCCCAAATAATTAGATGCCTCATTAAACCCTCATTTCAAAAACAGCACCCAAACAATTTTTCAAGGGGGTACCCCATGAGTGACCCAGATCCTCAATAATGTAATTGTTTCGATGGTGCCCTATTGTGCACAAAAACTGTTGGGGCAAATGTTTGGTTTGGGGATTTAAAAGGAAAATCATTTGAAAGTAGATTGATGTCAATTGAAATCCTTACTTCAGTTGACTATCCTAAAAATTGTTGAGGGGGGGGGCAGAAAATGCCGAGTTATTGAGTAGCCTAAAATGTTGCGGGGGGGGAGGCACACTAATCAGTATCCAACATTAATAATGATTAAACGAATTCCTCAACGTGCTTCGTTTCTTCAAAATTCTTGCGTGGGAAAAAAACAACAGCATCTTCGAACACTTTTTTCACAGGATGCAATACTATAGAATATGTATGCATACCATCCTGTAATCAAACTTGGCAATGGAAAATCTCACATTTATAGATTAATTTCCCATAATTCTAGTTCAGGGAGTACAAACCATCGCTTCCCTGGCCAATCTGCAGCTGCAAATAAATGCATTTCTTTTTTCAGAGAGGGACGTCGCCACATCTCAACACTGGTTTGACTTTAATGAATGGGAATTTCAGGATCCTAAATTGGAGGTACCTACCATATATAAGGCCTATATAAGGCCTATGTAAGTGAATATCCCCACAAAATATGCCCTTATATGTGGTACAGTACCTCCATTTTAGGATCCTGGAATTCCCATTGATTTGATGAACAAATATTGTATGTCAGAAGAAAGATGACATATGTTGCTTCAGAAAACAGCTGTCAGCTTGATGACTTTATCAGCATTCTTTCCCAACATGTCACGGCCGCGCATCGCCACTGTGGGAACTGTTCCCATGGAATTGATTGCTTCCCCATGTTTCTTGCCCATTGGAAACTTGCTTGAGACTTCTTCCTTGATTGTTTCTCGCCCATATCTTATCTTCTAGTCAATAACAATCTAGATAATTAATCTACAAGTGGTTTAATACTCTAATATATTATAGAACATATCTTTCTACAATAATATATTATAGAACATATCTTTTTCTTGCTTCAATACCCCCTTTGTTCTCGTTGAATATTCCCAAGTTCACAAGCGTTCCGGGACGATCAGGTTCGCAGATTTGGGGAATCCCGTCGTCATTTTGGGCTGAAAAACCTTTAAAAACATATAGTTTTATATGAATATATAACTGATTTACATGGTGAATCATGATGATTAATGTTAGTTTTAGATGAAAACAACAAATATGTTAGTTGAATAACTGATTAATTTTACAGGGTATATCATGATTAAACAATGGTTAATTATGGTTGATAAAGTCAAACAGGGGGACGAACCAGGCACCCACAAAAAGGAGGAAACCCAATCCGGTAAACCCTGCATGAAACAATCAACAAGTACGGACGCTATTTTCCGCACTTGAGCCATGACATCGGGTACACACTAATTACACCCAGGTGGTTGTTAGGGTGGACCTAGTACTACCCTCTAATCTATGGCTACACTACATACTTAACGCTTCTAAGTATGAGGTGTTACTCTACATTAATGGGAATAGCTACTTTGAATTATAGTTGGACTCATAGCTATGGCAATGCTCTACATAAGACCTACTACCTATGCTGTACATAGTGGGGCTCAGGGGTCGGTATATTTCAACTCCCCCCTCGCCTGTTCCACACGTACTGCGCATTGGCAGTGACCTAAGCAACTACTGTCGCGTGAACGGACGTTCACAGCGACCTATGCTTTGGCTTTAAGGTCTAAGGGAAGGTCAGTACGGATTCCTAAAAGGATTAGTGCTGCTGCCCATTTGTGTGGAGGCAATGCCTTGGTGAATATGTCTGCCGCCTGATCATCGGTGTGGGTGTACTCTATCTCGGCAGAGTCATCTCTGAAGATCTCAGACAGGCAAGACAAATTAACTTTGTGTGTTCTAGTTATATGGCGAAGCTTGGGACTATATCCTTTCTTCACAACTAGGATTGTTGCTTGATTATCTTCGTGGACCTTAAGGGTTACGGAGCGTGCAAGCAACAGCTCCCATAACTGTAAGGCAGGCAAGCCTTCTTGATAAAGCGAATGGGCTAAACTAACAACTTCGCTTTCCGTGGTCGATCTAGAAGTGGATGTTTGGCGCTTGCTAATCCATGCAAGTGGGAAGAAGGAACTAGGGCCAGTTAAAACCAAGAAGCCACCGGAGGTTGAGCGTGCAGTTGATCTGTCGCCGGCAAAGTCGGCATCGACGAACAGTCTGAGCTCTAGGTCTTCAGGCTTGTCCTGAATGGTACCTACTAACCTGTAGTGTGGTGTTGAGGCTATATACTGGATTAATCTTAGGACCTTCTTATCATCCCCCCTGGACCACGACTGGACCTTTGTGGCCAGATCATTGATAGGCTTGATGATATCGGGACGTGCAAGTCTACCTAACCAAAGGGCTTTCATCAAAATCTTACATGCATTTGGAGCTAGTTCCCCTTTAGTTTCATCATCTTCAATGGTGATGGATCCCTCAGGTGGAAATGGCGTGGCTGCATGCTTGAGTTTGGTGACACCAGTTATTGATTTATACAAATCTACGGTCTGCTGAGCGTAGTCTGCCATATCAAAAACCATACCATCTTGGGCTTGGAAGGCTGCACATTTTTCATGACCTTCGGTCTTGGAGAGTGGGGTAACAACATGGTTGCGTCCAAGAATCCTATAGATGGGCTCTGGGGGTTCAATGTCTACCACAGAAGTTAACTTGCTCCAGAATGCATCATGCTGGTCGGCGGGGCCAGCTAGAGTTAAATCGTCTACATAAGTTGACAGAAGTAACTTTGTATCTGGGAAGTAAAAGTTTCCTGGGTATTCTTGAACTTCCTGTCCACCAAGGTTCTTGATGATGACTTTCAGGTGTTGTTCCCACAGGCCTCCGGCATCAGGATGACCGTATAAGGCTTTAATTAAGAGGACTACGGGCTTAACAAACTGTTGTTTCCAATACTTAGGGCGGAGCTCCGGGGGAAGCTCAATCCAGGTTTTGTATTTGGAAGATAACAGTGCTTGGACGTAAGCTTTGACTGCATCTGCAGCCGTCGCGCGGTTACCCGGCAGCGACCCATACGCCAGGCAGGCGTTTAGCCCTTGGACGGAGGTGGGATTTGCGCCGAGTTCTTGGTAAACCGCGGCTGCACCATGTTCGTCCTTTGCGCAGTCTCCTCTGTACACAATGCGCCCCTTCATTTTGTGAAGGTGGTCTGCAAGCTCGTAGAATTTAATGGACGCGATGGTCATGAGTTGACCAAAGTGCACTGACACACCCGAAGCCTTAGCCTCTTTGCGTACATCTTCCTTCTCGCGGACCGAACCAAGATCCCAAGTACCAGCCTTAACCAAAGCGTCGGCTTCGGCACGAATTGCCTCGAGGGCTTTGGGATTGGACAGCATCTCTGCACGGGATAAGAGCTTAGTGACCATTGCCTTGATCTCAGGCGTTGGCGCCTTTGGGTCTTCCAGGTGGAAGGCTTGGGCGATCAATTGTTCATGGTCAAGAAGTTCTGTAACCAACCTATTAGCGGTGGGGTCTGATTCAACAGCTAGGGCTAAATCTTCAAAACCAGCTAATGGGGATACATGCTTCAGGTGCTGCTCAATTTCCCTATGGGGTTGAGGCTCGCTAGTTGCCGGTCGGCAAGGCATAGCAGGAACGGACTGCTGGGCGCATTTTGAGGGATACAAAGCTTGCGCAATTAAACTAGTCATTTGGGGCGGATACATTGCGGAGCGAGTGGTCTCAGCTCCCTCACATCTG